GTATTCAGACTTATGCTGATATAGTGGCCAAGGCTCAAGAAGTAGACGCAAGTTTCTGGAGGGGCGATGGCCAAATTCAGGTGCAACCTATTGCTCAAATTCCAGCTCAACCACCAGTGCAGCCCACGCCTGTCCAGCTGGCTAAAGATAAGAACAAGAGGAAGTGGAAAGGTCCCCAGAATAATAACAAGCAGAAGCAGCAAGCTAATCGACCACAATTTCTTGCTTGTGGCAAATGTGGGCGTAGTCATCCAGGAGAATGTTTAGCAGGGCAGAATATTTGCTTTTTCTGTAGGAAGCCTGGTCATAATCTCAAGGAATGTCCAGATAGGCAACAACAGAGGAATCAGGGGCAGCCTCAGCAGCAGAGGGCAGGACCTCAAGCTCAAGTGTATGCTGTGGAGCAAGTTCAGGCAGAACAGAACCCAGGTACTATGTCTGGGATGATTATTCTGAACGATATTCCTATTTTTTGCATTGTTTGATACGGGAGCGACACATTCGTTCGTGTCAAAACGATGTATAGAAATCATAGGAGCTAAATTCATTAACACTGTTGACCCTCTTGAGGTAAGCTTAGCCTCAGGACGGAAAATAGTGACGTGTTCTAAGGCAGATAACCTTAGACTCAATATTGGAGGAAGAATTTTGGAGGTCGGCGCGTACGTCATCGAGATGAGGGATTTTGACCTCATACTCGGTATGGATTGGCTAACACGTTACCGTGCTGATATTCGTTGTCATGACCTAGAGGTAATTCTTTATCTTTCGGAGGAGGATCAAATTTCTTTCTACGGCTCGAAGACGCGAACGTTGCCTCGGGTGATTTCTATGGAGAAGACAAGGAAGATTATTAGACGGAAGGATTGTCAAGGATATTTGGTGAGCATTGTTGACGAAAATTCGAGAGCACAAACACCTCATGATGTTCCAATTGTTCGGGAGTTTGTGGATGTGTTCCCGGACCAATTACCAGGAAGACCACCCAACAGGCAAGTGGAGTTCACAATCCATCTTGTTCCTGGAGCAGCGCCTGTGTCGAAGGCACCATATCGGATGGCACCAAAAGAATTGCAAGAGTTAAAAACTCAAATTCAAGAGTTGTTGAAACTTGGTTTCATTAGACCAAGTGTTTCACCTTGGGGAGCACCTGTATTGTTTGTCAAGAAGAAGGATTGTTTCATGAGAATGTGTATCGATTATCGGGATTTAAACCGGTTAACGATAAAGAATAAATATCCGCTCCCAAGGATAGATGATTTGTTTGATCAGTTGAAAGGGGCTTGCGTATTTTCAAAGATAGATTTACGCTCAGGCTATCATCAACTGAAGATTAAGGAATCTGACATAGCTAAAACTGCGTTTCGGACAAGATACGGTCACTATGAGTTTGTGGTGATGCCGTTTGGGGTAAGTAATGCACCAGCGGTGTTCATGAACTTGATGAACCGTGTTTTCCACAAGTATTTAGATCAATTTGTCATCGTTTTTATTGATGATATTTTGGTCTACTCCAAGAGTCAAGAAGAGCATGAGCAACATCTTAGGGTTGTTCTCAGTACCCTTAGAAAGGAGAAGTTGTATGCCAAATTCTCTAAGTGTGAGTTTTGGCTGAAGAAAGTGGCATTCTTAGGCCATATTATCACCGAGAGAGGTGTACAAGTGGATCCAGCAAAGATAGTTGCAATTCAGAATTGGTCAGTACCAAAGAATCCATCAGAAGTTCGAAGTTTCCTCGGATTAGCAGGTTATTATCGTAGATT